CCCCCCAGGGGGTTCCTTTGAATATATGTTCCTGCCAGGTCTGGTGGCACAGGTCTGTCATCCCAGCTGCTGAGAAGGCTGATAAAGGAGGATCACAAGTTCAAGTCCTGCCTTCAATAGAGTCCAAGACCAGCTTGAGCTACTTAGTGAGACTGGGTCTCGAAATAAAGTTAGGGAGATGACTCAGTGGGTAAAGTGCTTGCCTTGCTGACAGGGAGACTTGGAGCCTACATAAAATGGCAGGTGTGTGTGCTTTGTAATCTCATCACTGGGAGAGCAGGCATGGGCTGATTCCTGAAATCCCTGCCTGGTCAGCCTAACTTGGAGCCGCCAAGACCCAGGTCCCATCGAGAGAGTCTCAAAAACAAGATGTGGGCTAGAGAAATGGTTCAGTGGTTAAGAGCACTGGCTGCTCTTGAAGAGGATCCGTGCCCACATGGTGGTGAACAACCATCCCTAATTCCAGTTCCAGGGGATGACACCCTTTTTTGGTCTCTTCAGGCATTGCACGAATGGGTGCACTTACATACATGCAGGCAAAACACTCATAAAGTACAAAACAAGGTGAGCCAGGTCTGGTGACACATGCTTTTGATCCCAGAGGGAGAGACAGATCTCTGTGAGATCAAGGTGAGCCTGATCTACATAGTGAGTTCCAGGCCAACAGGAGACCCTGTCTCAAAAAGACAAAAACAAAAACAAGGTGAATGGTTCTAGGGAACACAAGGTTGTCCTCTGGCCTCCACACACCCCCACACCCATGTGCACACACATGTATACACAAAGTTAAAAGAGGGCTGTAGGATACAGCTCAGCAGTAGAGTGTGTTTACCTGGCATGTGTGTTTTAATTCCCAGCACTGCAGACTACTACTAATGAATCAAAAGCAAGTCCCTGGCTCCCTCCCTGGCCTCTAAATGCACATGTCTGGACTGGGCCTGTCCAGGAGTCTGTATGCTCAATAACCCTGACTGAATTTGGACCTGACAGTACCTCTGCTGTGAGCAACAGCCCTGCAATTCCCCACACCTACCTCTGGCCTCTGGCTTTATTTGTAAATGACACTGAGAGCTGCATTTCTATCTGGAAGAGAGATTAGTGGGATTGAGGCTGTTTCAGCAAGCATTTGTGAGTGAAACAAAATGACACTTTTTAAAATGTTTTATTACATTATTTGGTGCGCTTATGTGGGGGTGGGGGGGTGATATCATGGCAAACTTGTGAAGATCAGAGGACAATTTCAGGAGTCAGTTTTCTCCTTCCACGTTCAGTTCCAAGGGGTTGGACTCATGTCGTCAGGTTCAGCAGCAAGTGCTGAGCCATCTCACTGGCCCTTGATGAGATTGTTTCAATGGCCCAAGAGTAAAGGGCCTTCTCTCCCGTTTACTGCTCGGGGCCCAGAATGTGGCACACACCTGTCAGCACTTGTAGCATGATCCAAGTCCTGCGAATACCATCATAACCCAGATAGAAGTTCACCACCAGGGCCTGGGGAATAGCTTGGTGGCAGAGCGCTTGTCTAGCATGTGTGAGGCCCTGGGTTCCATCCCCCACTTCCAAAGAAACAAAATCAGATACCAAACCCAGGCCACCCACCTGGGCCCACTGGACCTGCAGGCCAACCAAAGCCATCTTAGGATTTCTGTGCACCTCTTCCTCCATGAAAATGTATTAAAAGGTATTTTGCCAGGGACGGTGGCACACATCTTTACTCCTAGGAGGCAGAGGCAGGTGGCTCTCTGTGAGATCAAGCCAGCCTGGTCTACATAGTGAGTACCAGGCCAACTGGGGCTACAGAAAGACCCTGTCTCAAAAAAGACTGGCAAAAAAAAAAAAAAAAAAAAGTCTATTTTAAGACTGTTCCAGGCTGTGGTTCAGCTGGTAGAGCACTTGCCTACCATGTGTGAAGCCTTGGGTTCCATCCTCAGCACCACATAAACTGAGCATGGCATGGCGGTGCATGCCTGTAATCCCAGCACTAGGGAGGTGAGGCATGAAGACTACATAAACACATAGTAAGTTTGTGGCCAGCCTGGGCTACATGATGCCCTCTCAAAAGAGAGAAGCAAATAGCCAAGGCAGCGTCTGGACTCTAGGTATACAGTGGGATCTGCCCAAGCTGGATTCTTGATCATTTTCATACATTTTTCCCGATTACAAAAAGAACACAATGGAAGCACGTCTACAGTCCCAGGCCATGCCACTGTGGAGTGAGGGTCCCCTCAGTCTGTGTGCAACTGGCCCATCAGCCAGGGCCCAGCAATGTCTTTCCTACTTTGCAAGGCCATGGGTAGAGAACCTAGACTCCATGTTAGGAAGGTGAAAGGAGGGAAAGCAAGGAACACGCACACCTTTGGTACATGTGTCAGTGACGTGTTCCATCAACGTCCGCCCTCGGGGCTTGACCTGATGGCTTCTGGCATTGGCAGCTCTGTCCCTACACACACACTCACACATAAGCGTATATACACAGTCACCTAAACACCAATATACATATATACGCACACTCACATATACATCCTCATACTTATACAGTCACACACACAAATATACATGCATACAAATATTAACCACACAAACATATACTCACACACAGACACTCATGTTCATGACCCATCTTAGGTCCAGGCCTATACATGGCTTAAGCATGGCTGTCAGGCACAGGGCAGGCTGCACATAAAACAAGACATGAAGTCAGAACAGCAACACAGGAGAAGCCAAGTCAATCAAAGAAAGGCTCTTCACGACATAGGAAATGCTGTTATTATGTTCCAGTGGCCACAGGCAGCCAAACCGATGTGGGCCATGTCACTATCAGATACCCTTACCCATGCACACACAATCCAAGCTCCTGGAGCTCAGAGGTGTACTGTCCAACAGTTTAGAAGCAGTTTATAACAAAAAAAAAAACCCTTCTACATATACACACACAGGAAAACATAGATAGAGATACCCCAGCCAGACACACACACATTTGTGACCCCTCAGGTGGTGGCCTAGAGAAGCCACTTGGCACAGGGTGAGCATCCTTCCTACAAGTTGCAGCTTAGGACAGCACTTGCAGTCTTGCCACGTACCCTCTTTTACATTGTAGAGTTCCTTGCTACAAGGCAGGAGTGCATGCCTCTCGTCCCAGTCTGGGGGATTTTTGTTAAGGTAGGAAGATCTCAAGTTCCAGGCCAGTCTGAACCGTGTAGCATGACCTTGTTTAAGACCCAAACCAAGAGTGGAGAGGTAATACTTGACGTGGGTTCAGTCCTTAGTGGTCAGGGAGGAAGGATGAGCGTGAGGGACTGAACAAGGAAGGAAATGGCACTGGGAGAGATGCCATCTACCCACACAGCTTCAAAGCACCAAGACAGCCCTAACAGCAGAAAATGTCAGAACAGCAGGTCATTTTGGAGCCTGAAGTGCCCCCCCCAGCCCACCCTCAGCACCACTTCCTACACTGCCCCACAACCGTGATCATTCCTAATGTCGGGTCTTTATTTGGTCTTTCCTCTACCCTCGGGCTCACCAGGCCTGTCTCTAAAACAAAAGGCAAATTTTAATTGCTGACATTTGCCAGATGTGGTGGTGCCAGCCTTTCATCCTGCATTTAGAAGGCAGAAGCAAGAGCTTCTCCCAGTTCAGGCCAGGCAGGGTACAGAACTATCCCAAAACTTCCCGTTTCCTGCTTAGCCCTGGCTGATCTACTTCTAATTCCTTCATTTGCTTGGACAGCAAATTACCATCATGAAGTGCAGGCAGTTTAAACCCGCAAGCCAGCTGGCCCAGAAAAAAAAAAAAAAACACGTTTTTTTGTTTGTTTGCATTTTTGAGACCAGGTTTAGAGTCTCATTACGTAGACCAGGCTGGCTGCCTGCAACTCATAGATCCACCTGTCTCTGCCTCCCAAGTGCTGTTATTAAAGAAACGTACCACTACATCCAGCCACAATCACTATTTTCTCTTAAGACAAATCTCTAGCCCAGGCTGACCTTAAACTCAGTATATAACTAAAGATAACCTTGAATTCCTGATCCTCCACTCCAGAGTGCTAGGATTACAAGCATGGACCACCACACTCCCATGGATTGGAAGCCATGCCAGGCAAGCTCTCTACCAGAGCTGCAGTCCCAGCCCCACATGCAATAGCTTTTGGCTAACCAGACACAGGACCCTTCTCATGTGCCCAGATAGTCTCACATTGTATAAGATGCACAGCTACTTCTCTGAAGATAATGACGTTCTTCCTTGAGCCCCGGGAGTTGAGGATAAAGCCCTGCCCTCATCTGATAGTGTTTACAAGACTATCCAAGGTCTCCAAGAAACAGTGGCAGGAGAGTCTCAAATTGCAAAAGTACATGTTCCTCTGACATTGAACTCCATGTAATATGTATTTTACAATCCTTAAACGTGGCCCTCTTTTGGAAGACTTTGCATGTATAATTAATACCAGCTTAAGATACACCACAATGCCAGCCAAACTTTCAACTATACAGAGCCCTGAATTTGACCAAATGAAAAAACAAAAAAACCCTAGCACAACCAACATTACAAGAACATAAATGAGTGCTTCAATGACAATGGAAGCCACGGGCTGACACGATTTCCCCACTTTCCAGAGGAAGCTGTGTCACCACACAGAGGAGAAAAGGGGGTGGCACACCCATTCCTGGCTTGGATGCCCCTCTTCCAGCGCCCCATGGCCACCCCAATCAATGAACAAAGCAGGTTTTGTTGGGAGAATGAATGAGGACAGCTTTCTTCTAGGCATCTTTTTAGAACTTGAAAGCCGTGGCTTGCTGCCATCGATGACGCCTGTGGGGTCTGGTCAGCCAAACCTTGGACTGCCATTCGTTAGCAACGGTCATCTTGCTGTGGCAGAATCTTCAGCAGACCTGAGATGTGGGTCGTGAAGGATTTTCTCCCATAATAGAATAACTAAAAGCTCTTTGGGCAAGCCTAGAAAAAAAGACACGAGCAAGACCTTTCTTTGCAGCAGATGAACTGATAAGTTCACTGGGTGAACTGAAGACTTTTATTTGTTTGAAAGTAGATGACACCAAAGTAGCATGTGGTATCCATAATCCACTGCATAGATGACTAGTACTTTTCAAACTGCAAAAATAGCTCCATCAAAGGTTATGACTATATTTCAACCATATACAGACTTCTGTTCAAGGTCTGGGTTTGATCACAGACTATTTGCCCCAGTTCCCTATGGGGATTTAGAATGGAGACACGACCTCCCAAAAAGCTGGCCGGGTTCTGTGTCAATTTTAAACTGGACACAGTGTTCAACCTATAAACTATAGCTTGTCTGCCTGCCTGTGTCCTCCAATCAGGTCTCCTGATGTAGAGTCCATACTGGTGCATGAGAAGTAAGATCAGACTTCCATGAGGCAGTTCCATCACCCAAGCTCTCAGCACCATGGCATGCACCCGAATGGATCTCCTTAGCCCTCTGTTCACGCACTGGAGTCCCACATAAAGAAGCTTTTTCAAAACATCACACATGTACATACATCACCTATTTCTTTTTCTATTAAAAAGAAAACAAAAACTAGAGCCATGCCTCGTGGTACATATCCAGGGTCCCAGTTATGCAGGAGGCCAAGACAGAAGGAGCACTTGAACCCAGAGATCCAGGCCAGCCAAGGAAACAAAACCAGACCATATCTCAAAAAATAAAATAAAGCAAAATAAAAACATACTAGGAAATGGAAAAATGATGGATGTGCTGTGATTTACGAAAATGGTTCTAGAAGCATCTCCCTGCAAGTAATATTCAAAAGGATCTCAGAAACTGAAGCAATTACCCAGTGGAGAAAAAAATCCCTCCAGAGTGGTGCTGAGACATGGGAGGGCAGGGCGGGCAGGACTAAACCAGCCCTACTTTTCTGTCATCGTGTACTTTGTACAGCACAGATGTGTCTGGTGGATGTTAGCAGCCCTTCTGTGCACTTTAAAACCTTGAAGAAATTAAAGTGAGTCTGGGTGCTGAAGAGGTCTGCAATTACAGAATCATAACGTCTTTACGGCGAGCTCTCTGTCATCAGGGGTAGGGACAGATGGAAAAGATCACAGGTGCTAAAGGCTGGTTTGGCCATGTTCAGCCAGAACAGTCTGAAAAATAAGGCAAAAGGTGGCTTCTCAGTTTGAAAACACCACCAGAAAGGCCCACTGAAGAAGAGGAGCCAGCCAGTGGCAAATCACCGGAGGATATGCAAATAGGGCAACAATCACAGTTACTTGGGATGACTTGGGTAGGCAGGAACCCCAAGGTCCATGTCTGTATGTGCAGAGCACGACTCCAAGCAGCAATTTCTGGGATTCGGAGGTTTGTTACTTTTGCGCCGGTTCACCCCCTCCAAGAAGACACTAAGATGGAGCCATTGGACAGATGAGATCAAGAAGCCTCTTCCAGGCAGGCTGGGCATCTCCTGGATGGAGATGGACACACATCTCCCCTACAACTGGCCAAGTCCTACAAGCGCTTGTAGGTGCCCAGGAGGGCTTTGCAGTTGGGGCAGTAGTGGTCCACGTCCTGCAGGGCATCCACACAGAATGGGATGAAGCAGCAGCCGGCAATGCACCTGGGAGGAGAGAGACACAGGGGAACCTGTCAGCAACTGTAGGAGGCTGGATGCTGTCCTGGACAACAGGTCCAGACATGCTTGCTTATAATTCTAGCACTCGGGAGGTGGAGGCAGGAGGATCAGGAGTAATCCCAGCATGAGAGATAGAGGCAGGAGGACATCCTTGGCTACAAGTAAATTCAAGTCCAGCCTGGGCTACTTGAGATATATTTTAAAAAAAAATTTTTTAATCTTAGATCCCGTTTGACAACATTTATGTAAGTAAGCCATATGGTCCACATGTTTGGGGGCCCTTGGCCTGTGTTCTGCCTACTCAGTCTCGCCTTACAACATGAAAACAGCCTAAACAAATGGGTTGGCAGGGTGCCAATGAAACTTAAGCCTTGGGTGGGCTGGATTTGGCCTGGGGGCAAAGTTGTACACCTCTTTTCAGAGAGAAGCTGCTTCTAATGGCCACCAAGTCAAGTTTTCCCAGATGATACCACTAAAGGCAGTCACAGTGTGCACAGAGTAGAGCTTCCTACAGCCTTAGAACCAGCTTGGGAACATGTTAGTTACAAAAACAGATGCTAGGCTCACTTCAAGTCTGTGAGGTTGAGGTTAACTTCAACAGCGCCCACCTCCAAGATTACAGGTGTCGGGGAGGGCAGAAGTACAGAACTGTCTACCATGAGGACATCTAATCCCACCCTGCCACATTCAAGGAAGGCAGCAAACCAGAGGCTGGCCCACATGTTTGCACTACCTCCAATTTCAAATCTAAAAGAGTTTTAGTACAAACACCCAAAGACAACAAAGACAACATTTTTGTTGTTTTTGAGATAGGGTCTCACTATATAGCCCTGGCTGGCCTGGGAACTTGCAATGCAGACCAGGCTGGCCTAGAACTCAAGAGATCTGCTTGCCAGGAATGCTGGGAACAAAGGTCTGGGCCACCTCACCCAGGTGTTTGTGTGCTTTTAGAGACAGCATCTTACTATGTAGCTAAGGCTGGCCTTGAACTTGTCATTCTCCTGCCTTGGCCCTCCAAGTGCTAGGTGGACATGTTCGACATTTTTATGTGCTAATGATGAAACCACGCCTTATACAAGCTAGGTCACCATTCCAGCACTCTGCCATACCCCCAGCCCTCGTTTCACTTTTATTTGGAAATAAGGTCTCATTTAACCCAGGCTAGCCTCAAACTCCATGTGTAGCTGAGGCTGGCTTTGATTTTGGGTCTTTTTGATACAGGGTCTCCTGGTAGCCTCAACTGACCTGGAGCTCACTATGTAGACCAGGCTGGACTTGAACTCAGAGATCTACCTGCCTCTGCCTCCCAAGGGCTGAGATTAAAGGTGTACACCACCACACCTGGCTGAAGCTGGCTTTTTTACTTTTTATTCTGAGACAGTGTCTCACTCAGTTGCCCAGGCTGGTTTGGATTTGTTCTATAGCCCAGGCAGGCCCTGAATGTGTGATCCTTCTGCATAGGGTAGCAGGCCTGGTTAGCAGGGAATGAATACAAGAGACCACAGTGGAACAGATGCAAGGGGGTAGAGGGATCAATTTCTTTTCCTCAGATTTCTCCCATAGAATAAAAACTCACATCTCAACCGGGTGTGGTGGCACTCGCTTTTAATCCCAGCACTCGGGAGGCAGAGGCAGAGGCCAGCTGGGGTTACAGGGAGACCCTGTCTCAAAAAGACCAAACACAGTCCAGTGATTTCCAGCAGAGTTCTTATCTAGGGGACTCTGTGAACATCCAGAAAGGAGACCAGGGGCTGCTCCACATTTGGTTTTGGGTTTTTTTGGTCTTTTTGAGACAGGGTCTCTCTGTAGCCCCAGCTGTCCTGGAACTCACTATGTAGACCAGACTGGCCCTGAATTCAGAGATCCGCCTGCCTCTGCCTCCCAAGTGCTGGGCTTAAAGGCATGTGCCACCACGCCCAGCTGTTTTTTAATTTTAATTTTATTTCATTCATCCACTGTGTGTGTGTAGAGGATACATGTGTCATGGTGCACAGGTGACGGTCAGAGGACAACTTTTAGGGATTAGTTCTCTCCTTCCACCATGTGGATCCCAAGGATAGAGTGTGAGTCGTCAGGCTTGGTGACAAACACCCTTATTACCAGCCCTTTCTTGGTTTTTCAGATAAGAGTCTCACTCTGTAGCCCAGGCCGCACTCAACCTGTGATATTCCTGCCCTTACCTCCTGCATACTGGGATTACAGGAGCATGCCACCATGCCCAGCTTTCAATATCTTCTAACAGGCTAGGGATATAATTCAGAGGTAGAGTACTTACTTAACATGATGAAGTCCTGAGGTCAAGCCCCAGCACCATAAAAGAAAAGAAAAATGGCGGGAGGAGAGAACCAATTCCTGAAAGTTGTCCTCTGACCTCTTTCCATGTGTACACACACACACACACACACACACACACACACACACACTCTCACTCTTCATTACATTTATATATTCATTATATTTACACACAATATTTATTTCTTTATTCGGCCATGTTCAGCCAGAACAGTCCATGAGTGCAAACAAACAAACAAATAACTGTAATTCTGAAAATTGGGGAGAGGCAGGCATGACGGCATAGACTTGTAATCCCAGGGTTGAGATAGCAGAGACAGGCTCTCTGACTCACTGCCCCGTCAGTCTAGCCTACTTGGCAAGCTTACAACAAGCAGTTAAGAGCACTGACTGCTCTTGCAGCAAACCCAGGTTCAGTTCCCAACATACACATGGTAGCTAACAGTCAGTAACTCGAGTTCCAGGGGATCTGATACCATCTTCTGGCCTCGGTGGCACTGCACACATAAAAACAACGAAATATCTTTAAAAACAAACAAGACAATGGCGAGGCAAGCCTCCGGCCTCCACACTAAAACACCCACGAACACACACCCATATGTATTACTACAGAGCACAGGAGAGCCCCTAACAGACACAAGTCTGCAGCCCTGAATACCACTGACCCACAGTGGGAACCCTCTGGGAACCGAGGGAGTACTTACCCCAGCAGGCACAGGCTCCCACAGGACAGCCAAGTCAGGGCGCCGGCATTGTAGGACAGCTGTGTCACGATCATCTTGCTGCAGGAAGGACAGCACATCTGGACGGGGCGATCGTAAAAGGTGACAGGCTGCTGCACATACACAGTTTGCACGGCAACTGATCCGGATGATAGACAAGGTCAGTGTCAACGCCGCAATGAGTACTAGAGTGCCCATGCACACAACAGTGTCACCCCCACCAGGCAAAAGTAGTGTTCATCCCAAGAATGAAGGGATAAGTAAGTTCAAGGAAAAAATAAGTAAAATGTATTAAAAAGTAAAAATGAATAAAGTTGATTTTTTTCATATTTTTACGATTTTGAGTCTTGCCATGTAGCCTCAAATTTGTGATCCTCCTGCCTTAGCCTCCTCAGTTCTAGAATTACAAGCATGTACCACCATAGCAAGCAGCAGATTTTATGTTGTGCTGTATCTGTGTGTATGTATAGTTTGGTGGGGGAAGGGTGTAAGACAGGGTCTCACTATGTAGCCTATATATAGACCAGGCTGACCCTGAACTTAGGGCAGTCCTCTTGCCTCTGCATCCTCAGTATTATGTATATTGTCATACACACATGGAAGGAGCGGGGAGGTGGTGCACACCTTTAATTCAGGCACACAGGAGGCAGAGGCAGGTGGATCTCTGTGGGTTCAAGGCCAGTCTGATCTATACAGTGTGTTCCAAAAAGGCCAAAAAAAGAAGAGACAATTGACAGAAAGGGAAGATGAGGAAATGGTGGCAGATTTCCACGGAGGAATGAAGAAAAACTGTGTGCCCTAGTGGCAGGTCCTGGCTCTCTCCTAGATCAAGTATCCTGTGGGGCCCTTACAAAAAGCAGTTTCTTGGGTCTAGGCCCAGAGGTCTGACTCATGACGTCAGCAGCAAATCCCCAAACTGTTTCTTCAGCTCTGCCAACTGGCTCTAAGGTGGGTCACAGAAGATAACCAGAGAGCAGGAGGTGATGTGTTTAGACCCAGTTGCCCCAAGGACCCAGCATGGTGCTTCCCTCAGCCCCAGGTGTACACTCGCTACCACCCCCCAGCTTCCAGATGGGCTGACACTGAATGATAATGGTGTGGAGTTTATCAACTAGGAAACCAAGCTGTGGGAGACTACAGTCAAAAGTGAGTTGATGGACACAATATGTACATGAAATACTAGGAACACGAGACAGTCACACCAATGTATGTGGACACTAACAGCAGTCAGGGGGTCTCCGGGGATGTAGACCCTGAGACCCTTTAGCTCACCCCTCCAGTGCTATGTACTTAGAATGCTATTTATATATAGAATTGTGTGTGTGTGTGTGTGTGTGTGTGTGTGTATGTGTGTGTGTAGGGGTAATTAACTACAAGAGTGAGACTGAAGCATACCATAGAAGTCATAGGTTAAGTACTACAGGCCCTGGGTTGGTCCCCAGGAACTCATAAACCCGACCTGGTGGTGCACAGCTATAATCCCTGCATTTGGGAGGTGAAAGGGGAAGGATAATCTGGGCTATAGGAGATGCTGTATCAAACAATAATAAGACTATTATTAGTACTATGTCAAGCTCGGCATGGTAGCATATGCCAGCAATCCCCACACTCAGGAGCATGATGCAGGAGGATGGCCATAATAAATTCAAGGCTAACCTTGAATCCATAGGATCTCCATCTCAAAATAACCACAAATAAACCAGTTACCAGAGCCAAGTGTGGAGGTATACACCTATAACCCCAGTATTCAAGAATTAGAGGGAGGAAGATTAAGCATTCAAAGCTGGGGCTGGAGAGATGGGTCAGTGGTTAAGAGCACTGGCTACTCTTGCAGAGGAACCAAGTTCAATTCCCAACACCCACATGGTGGCTAACAACTGCCTGTAACTCCAGTTTCATGGAATCCAATGCCCTCTTCTGACCTCAAGCACTGCACAACAGGGGTGAGCTTACAAATTTGCAGGCAATACACTCATACACAAGAAAATACAATTAATAAATACTTTATTAAAATAGAGTTCAAAGCTAACCTGATCTATACAGTGAGTTCCACGCCAAAGGGCTACAGCTAAGAGCTCACTCTTCAAGTTGCATTTGAACACAATAACCAATTTCCTTTTATTCAATGGTGGTTGTGTACCCGACATAGGGAAGTTTATTTTATCAGAACCACCCACTAACAGGGCAAGTACTGAATGAGACATCACAGACAGGAAACTGAGGCACAAGGAGGGTAGAGAACCCAGTGTGATGTCACACACCTAAAATTCCAGTACTTGGGAGATGGAGGTGGGAGTATCAGGATGGTCATCTTCCACCACACAGTGAGCTCAAGGCCAGTCTGAACTATTTGAGACTGAGACTCCATCTTTCACACAAACAAAAAACCAGGCTGTGGATATGGTTCAGTTGGCAAAGTGCTTGCTGTGTAAGCAAGAGGACATCAGTCTGAACCCACATAAAAGCTAGGCATGATAGTGTGTTCCTGTAATCCAATCCTGGGGAGGCATACATAGGGAGACTCCTGGGGCCGACCAGGTGTTCAGCTTAGCCTATTTGGCCATTTCAGGCCAGTGAGAGATTCTGTTTAGAATAGCAAGGTGGATGGCTCCTGAAAGTGACACCTGAGGTTGACCTTCACATGCACAGACAAACAAAAATGAACAAAGGGGGAAAGTGTATAAGCTCATGCTCAGGCAGTCTGAGTCTGAGGTTCTCTCTGTCAGTCCTCACTGGCTTAAGGTGTGGAAACAGTGTGTACACACACACACACACACACACACACACACACACACACAAGTGGAGAGCTTCCACCCTGTTTGTCACTCGGCGCTGTCCCTTGCCCGCTTCCACCCCATTCCTAAGTTCTCTGATGCAGCTTTGGAAAGTTTCCTATGTGTGTTTTGTTGGTTGTTTTGTTAACAAGTTTTTGTTACATGTATGTGTCTGTGTGAATCCATCAGCACGTGGAAATGAAAGGACAGCTTTTGGGAGTCTTCTTCTACCATGTGAGTCTCAGAGAGCAAACTCAGATTTGCTGGCAAGAGACTTTACCTGCTAAGTCATCTTGCTGGCCCCAATGTGTTTTATGATGGGAAAATCACAGGCCTAAGCAATGGGAGATCCAAAGCATCCTATGAGAAATCAGGGTGGAATGGAGTCATATGGCTCTGTACTTCACTCTGACACTTAGATGTATATATACATGCCTCCCAGAGTCCAGAAACAGGACTCAGTTTCAAGGGCTACCTGGGGGACATACGTACTTGCGTTGGCGTTGGGGACAGGCACAGGCTGGGTGTAATACGAAGGCGGATTCATGCCTTTCCCATCTGGGCCCGTGATAAGCCCTGTGGCTGGCCCAGGCACAGGGGCTGGGGGTGTTGGGTAGTAATTGTTGACACCCACTGTCTCTTCATAAGTTGGGGGTGCAGTGGGCATTGCAGAAGGTCCTGCGGCCCCCTGGTAAGGTCCTGCGGCCGTCTGGTAAGGTCCTGCGGCCGTCTGGTAAGGTCCTGGAACCGACATTTTTCCTAAAGCAAAAAGAGAAGACACCCCATAAGAAACTTGCCTGATCTAGAGCACACTTAAGATCCCAGCATTCAAGAAGGGGGTGTGGAGGGGTCAGAACCTCAAGGTCATCCTTGGCTATATAATGAGAGTTCAAGGGTGGCCTGGGCTACATAAGACCCTATCTCAAAAGTACCATGATCAAAAAATAAAATAAAATAAAATAAAGAAAGACATTCACTCCCCCAATCCTTCACAAGAGTTTCCCAAAGTACAGATAGAAAGTAAGTGAGCCGGGCAAGGTGGCACACCTTTAATCCCAGCACTCAGGAGGCAGAGTCTCTGAGTTGAAGTCCAGCCTGGTCTACATAGTGAGTTCCAGGCCAGCTGGGGCTACAGGGAAACCCTGTCTCAAAAAGATCAGGGAGGAAAAAAAAAAAAAAAAGAAAAAAAGTAAGGACTGTGCCTGACTGAAATGAGTGAACCCTAGAACACTCCAAGGGAGGAATGGGTCATATTTGAGGAGTCTTCTCCTAAGACCTCCAGCCAATGTCTGACAGTCACATGCTCCAAACCCAGCATTTCTTTTTTAAACCAATGTGGTTTCCACTAATTGTTTCAAGTGACGGAAATGACAAGGAACATTTAAATGTCAACCACAAACTATGGCCGAATGTAAGCAAAAGTTGGCACCCCACCCTCAACCCCCCCGCTCGGGGCTGGAGAGATGGCTCAGCAGTTAAGAACACTAGTTGTTTTTGTAGAAGATCCGGGTTCGAATCCCAGTACCCACATGGCAGCTAACAACTGTCCATAACTCAAGTCCCAGGGGATCCTACAGCTTCTTCTGACCTCCGTGGGCATTGCATGACAGGAGCGTACTTAACTACATGCAGGCAATGCATGTATACACTTAAATAAAAATAACAAGTACAATGAACCTGAATCCTAGGAGCAGGAGAAAAATCTAGGAGGCAGGAGGAAGGATTTTAGTGGGCTGGTCTTGTTCTCCATGGTCACATGGGGCTAATTACAAAGGTTTTTCCAGTTTATAAAAATTCAATTTTTGCCGGACATGGTGGTACATGCCTTTAATCCCAGCACTCATGAAGCAGAGGCTGGTGGATCTTTGCTATCTACAAAATGAATTCCAGGCCAGCTGGGAGCTGGGGCTAACAAGGAGACCATGTCTCAAAAAAAAAAAAAAAAAGACCAAAAATTCAGTTTATACAACTGAAAGTTGTGCCCCTATTTTGATCTTTTTTCTTTTTAGTGAACTGTGCAGGGCAAGCACTGGGGAGGTAGAGGCAAGTTCAAGGCCAACCTGGATCACATTAACAAGGCTCTCAAAAAGAGTTTGGCTCTTTTTTTTTTTTTTTGACATTTTGAGACAAGGTCTCCTTGTAGCCCCTGAACTCACTATGTAAACCAGGCTGGCCTCAAACTCAAAAGGATCTGCCTGCCTCTGCCTCCCAAGTGTTAGGATTAAAGGCCTGTGCCGCTACGCCCAGCTAAGAGTTTGCCTCTTTGTGGCTCAGTAAGTAGCGCTCTTGCCTAGTATGCATGGGGCCCAGGGTTTGTGGCCCAGAACTACAGAAACCAGGTGTGATGGCATACCACATCTCTATTCTTGCAGTCAGACTGGGATAAAGTCCAAAAATAACCCCCATCCTGCAACTTCTCATTTAGAAAGCTGAGTCCAAGGGCAGCCAGGCACACAGTGCCTTCGGTGAAGGCAAAGGGAAGGCTTCCTGCCCCTGGCAGAGCTGCTACTGCCTAGAATTACATCCAGTGACCCTCCCTGCTGCTAGTGCTCCAGTCCCCCCGCAGCTGCACACACAGGGCAGGCCTCTGTGTGACTGTTTGCCCAACCAGGCAGGATTGCCCTGCTGCTTCAGAAGAACCATTCAAGCCTGTCTCAGGAGACATGGGCAGCCAGGGCAGTGTGCCACAGTCCTGGGGCTGGACAGGCCTGCCACCTCTGCCTACAGTTGGCTCCAGTTCCAGAATGTGTGGGAAACAGAAAAGGGCCCGACTGTGGAGAAAGGGGAGAGTCCTTGGAAGAAGTTCTGCCTTGAAACTGGATCCAAGCAGAGGAGGTTTCTGGAAGGTTAGAAGAGCATTTCCAGGAAGTGAGCTTAGCAGAATAATGCTGAGAAATGTCGTGATAGCAGGCTGGTGAGTAGAGGTGCTTGCTGTCAAGACAAACAACCCAAGTTCCATCCCAATGGAAGGAGAACCAACTCTTCAAAGTTCTACTCCCTCACCTCCCACACACAAAATATTTTCAATTTAGCATCCAATCTCTGAGAGCAATGTAAAATACAGCTTAGATTTTAAAAATAGTAAACAAAATTAATGAAAAACATCTCATCAATAATTTAACACTGGTTATGTGATCAGATGATCCTAGTTACATATATGGAATTAAGTAAATTGCACTGTTAATTTCAGCTCCCTTTCAGTGTGGTCATGAAAGAACTGAAAATTATCTACACAGTTCCCTTTCCAGCATGCTACTGAGCAATGGGAGCCATGGACTCGTCACCCTTACAGATGTAACAGGACGTTTATAAGGGAAGCCAATCAGAGGTTCCTGTGTGTAGGTGGTAGGGAGGCTCAAGTCCTCCAAGAGGGCAGAAAAGCGGGTTTCACAAGATCACAGGCACCTGCTGTAAAAGCTGCTTCACAGTTAAAAATGATATGGACCCTGAAAGCAGTCTAGAGCACACTGGGTTTCCTCTGACAGGAAAAGAAATGCAGAAAGGTGCAAGACCACAGGAGGTACCAGTCCAGCTCATCCACCAAAGTCAGCTGGTGCCCTGGCAGAAAGCCCCAAAGCACCCCTGCCCCCAACACATCTGTGCCTGCCACAGATCCTGCTTGCGGAAACTTCCAGCAAGGGGAACAACCCTGCCGAGTAGTAAGGACACCCAAGGGACAGAGGGACAGACGTCAAGGCCACCCTGCCCCTTCCTGTTTCAGGAAAAGATAGACCCAGACCTGCCTCTGCAATTTATTCTAAAAATTAAATCATGCAAAAAAAATTTAGAAGATCAGAAAACTGTGGGGCAAACAGATCTTCAATAGCCCGGGGTGGGGGGTGGGGGGGAACAGAAGGAAAGTCCAGGTATCTAGTTGTGAAAATGTGCTGGGGCCACCAGCTGAGCTGAGCCCAAGTTGGTTTCAAACTCCTGATCTCTCCTCCTCAGTTCCCAGACTGCTGAGTATACTACTGAGCATGTACTATGTTTGTACATGTCTGACCTACTGCATTTTAAAAGACCTGACCAATAGCTGGGCATGGTCACACACACCTTTGATCCCAGCAGAGGCAGGTAGATCTCTGTGAGTTCAAGGCCAGCCTGGTCAACATAATGAGTTCTAGGATATCTGGGGCTCTAGGGAGACCTTGTCTCAAAAATAAAAGAACTAGCCAGGCGTGGTGGCGCACGCCTTTAATCCTGGCACCCGGGAGGTAGAGGCAGGTAGATCTCTGTGAGTTCAAGGCCAGCCTGGTCTACATAGTGAGTTCCAGGACAGCTGGGGCTACAGAGAGACTCTGTCTCAAAAAGACCAAAAAAATAAAAAATAAAAAAAATAAAAGAATTAACCAACAGGTTTAAGGCGTGGGTGCTTTTTCCCCATGACCTTTATGGCAAGGAAAGGGATCAATTTCTTGTTCTGGAAAGTCCCCTCCATCCCCCACTGAGTGTTATCTTCTCATGGTCAGACCGAATCTTTTTTCAAAATGCAGATGAGCATGGCCTCCTCAGAAATCTGCTTTTAGATCAAACAGCCACATAAACTATGTTTATAATTCTGAAATAGAACGGTAAGGACTAGTGAGGTGGCTTATTGGATAAAAGTGCTTGCCACCAAGCATGACGATCTGAGTTCAATTCTTAGGACCCATGTACTAGAAATGGAAAACTGACTCTCACAAGGTGTCCCCTGATCACTACAGAGTAAGCCATGGTGCATGGGTACCCTGTTCCTCAGAGAATAAGTGATAAATTAAGTTCAGCCTTGTCACATCTTTTTTTAAAAAAGAAAATATTAGGTCTTTTATTTCTTGTACATTAAGCCATGAACTCAGAGGGAATGGGCAGCTCAGGCTCCTTTCCATTAGTTCTCACAAAGTGTGCTTCTTTGGGTGGGGTGGGCTGGTGTCACATCTTTTTGTGGTACTGGACAGTAGGGTGGGTCACCAAACTAGTCAAGTCAGGTAATCCTCACAGAGTTGGGTTGCCACAGTTACTGTGAGCTTTGGGGGGAAATAAAGTAGTATATATTATGCTTCCCTTCCTTGTTTAACTTTGTCATTAGGATCTTGTAAGTGGCATTCAATTGTCTATCCTAAAGAACTTGTTGAAGGAGATTCCAGCCTAACCTTCTGCCCATGCCTAGCACTCAGAATGCCTTTGTCATTAGCTAGTTCCAAACTTGGACAGATGCACCACAAATCTATTTTTTATTAGTAGAAAATGGGGCACAGAGGCTGGCTTCACAGGTGTGTGGAGGGGGGATGGAGAGGGAGGGAGGGAGGGGGAGAGGGAGGGAGAAGGAGAGAGAGGGAGAGAGAGGGAGAGAGAAGGAGAGAGAGGGAGAGAGAAAGAGAAAGAAAGAGAGAGAGAGAGAAAGAGAGAGCAAGCTAGACAAGTCAGGGTCCTGCAGAAGGGCCCCAAGAGACATGCCTAGTGCAGTGCAATGCCCCTAGCTGCAGCCATCCTAAAATTCTCACTGCTTTTGAACCCAGGCTCTGTATTCCCATGCTGCAGCAGGGCCCAAGAGTTAGGGAGCCAACTGCCACAGTGTCTGTAGATAAGGAAGCAGAGGCACTTCCGATGGTGAACTGGGGTCTGGGCCCACTGTGAGAGTGGACCCCACATTCCTATCCCCAATCTGTCACTTAAAATCTCAGCATCCCTTGTATACAAGCCTCAGTGATTCAGTGATTTGCTTAGGACCAGATGTCTTAAAACACACACAGACACACACAGACACACAGACACACAGACAC